GGACTCGCCGCTGGCGCGCTCGCCTGCCGCCGCTGACTAAAAAGTATTCACGCCAACCCATGCATGAGCGATGTCCAGCGGAGCTGCCCACATCGGGGGAGCTCGGCATCATGTAGAGAGTTCGGGGAGCCTCCGTGGGCCCGAGGCTTCTTGGATGCCCCTCGAGGTCTACTGGGATGTCTCTCGGGGTATCTTGGAAACCTCCCTCGTTGGACGTCTTGGGGTCTCCTGGCGGCTCCTGGGGGCCTCTTGGGGCGCCTTGGGGGCCTCTTGGAGGCCTCTTGGAGGCCTCATGGGACGTCTTGGGGGCCTCATGGCGGTCCTCAGGGCCCCTTGGGCGTCTTGAGCGCCTCGAAGGGGCCTCTTGGGACCTATTGGGGGCCCATTTGGTGGCCTATTGGGAGCCTCTTGGGGGCCTCTTGAGGGCCTCTTGGGGGCCTCTTGGGGGCCTCTTGGGGGCCTCTTGGGGAAAAGTAAAGAGAACCTCTTGGGAACCTCTTGGGCTGTCTCGGAGATATCTTGGAGGCATATTAGGCCATCCTGGGCGGTCGCGAATCCAAACATGTGCGAATTTCAAAATCCTGCAAAAACCATTGTCGAGCCACCAATGGTGTTCGTCTTCTCGGGCTCTCCTGGAGGGCCTCTTGTAGCCCTCTTGGCCGTCTTGGAGGCCTTGGGACGTCTTGAGACCGTCTTGGGAGCCGATTGAGTCTTTGACGCCGCGTCGCAGGCCGTCCTGCTCGTCTGGAGGCCGAAAAACCGCCAGAGAGCAATTTCAAGGGAGCGGTCTTAAAGCGGGGCGTGCGTCGAGGGGAGAGGGTCGGAAACCCGTTAAGGATGGGTTCCAGGGGAGGGGCGAAGCGGGACCAAGCCATGGTAACCCCCAAAGACGGCCCAAGAGGCAGCCAAAAACGACCAAGAGGCCCCCAGTACGGCCCAAGAAAGGTCCCAAAGGGCGCCAAGGCAGCCCAAGAGCGTTTTAGGGGAGAGCCCGAGATCGGCCAAGAGCGCTCCAAGATGGCCTCCGAGTGCTTCAAGACGGTACGAAGGGGACCAAGACGGCCCGAAAGACCCTCAAGAGAACCCCCCAGAGGGGCCCACGAGGCCAAACCTCCTCCCCCTCCTCCTGATCCTCCTCCTCCTCCTCCTCCTCCCCTCCTCCTCCTCCCTCCTCCTCCTCCTCCTCCTCCTCCTCCTCCTCCTCCTCCTCCTCCTCCCCTGTCTCTTCCATTCCTTTTCCTTGTGAATAACTTCTCCCTGTCGCACCCCGAGGCCAGTTTTCAGGGCGGGCCCGGCGTTTCGCCCGAGACTACCTCACCAGGCATGGCCCCGAGGCTCTAAAAAATGGCATCAGTTTCACAGATGGAGGGCGGATGGTTTTCAAAATGTGGCTCTCGCCTTAGCGCCGCGCACACTCGTTATACAAATGTACAAGAGTTTCACAGCTTGAAGACGACTGGCTTTCAAAATGTGGCTACCGCCTAAGCGCCGCGCACATTTGTTTTTAAAGAAACGCAAAGGTTTCACGGATTGAGGGCAGTTCCTTTTCAAAATGGTGCTCTCGCCTTAGCGCCGCGCACATTCGTTTTTAACTTTAGTTTCACGGACTCCCATGATCAACGTACCAGAAATTATGTTTTGGCAGGACTCGGGATTATGAGGGTGCAACAGTTACATTGATTCGCGGTGTTGACGTTCCAAGAACGGCTTTCTGGAACGATTCGGGGTCGTCACGACGCAGCACTCAAATTGATCCGTGGCGTTGGGATCCCGAGAACAATGTGTTGGCATGCTTCTGGGTATTCAAACGGTTGTCTTCCAACGAGGCAGTTCCCTCAGTGGAAAAGACACGTTGTAGGGGCCTATGAAAAGGAAGCTTGGAGGGAGGGTTTATCCCAACATCGTTGATGACTCTTGGTTTTACACTGGTCATCCTCCTCCTCCTCCTTCTCCTCCTCTTCTCTCCTCCTCCCTCCTCCTCCTCCTCCTCCTCCCCTCCCCTCCCCCTCCCCCCCCTCCCCCTACCCTCCCCCTCCCCCCCCTCCCCCTCCCCCCCCTCACCCTCCCCCTCCCTCCCCCTCCCCCTCCCCCTCCCCCTCCCCCTCCCCTCCCCCTCCCCTCCCCTCCCCCTCCCCCTCCCCTCCCCTCCCCTCCCCTCCCCCTCCCCTCCCCCTCCCCTCCCCTCCCCCTCCCCTCCCCCTCCCCCTCCCCTCCCACTCCCCCTCCCCCTCCCCCTCCCCATTCCCCCTCCCCCTCCCCCTCCCCTCCCCTCCCCCTCCCCCCCCTCCCCCTCTCCCCTCCTCCCCTCTCCTCCTCCTCCCTCCTCCTCCTCCTCCTCCTCCCCTCCTCCTCCTCCTACTCCTCTTCCTCTCCTCCTCCTCCTCCTCCTCCTCCTCCTCCTCCTCCTTCCTCCTCCTCCTCACCTCCTCCTCCTCCTCCTCCTCCTCCTCCTCCTCCTCCTCCTCTCCTCCTCCTCCTCTCCTCCTCCTCCTCCTCCTCCTCCTCCTCCTCCTCCTCCTCCTCTCCTCCTCCTCCTCCTCCTCCTCCTCCTCCTCCTCTTCCTCCTGCCTCCTCCTCCTCCTCCTCCTCCTCCTCCTCCTCCTCTCCTCCTCCCTCCCTCCTCCTCCTCCTCCCCTCCTCCTCCTCCTCCGCTCCTCTCCTCCCCTTCGGCTTTTGAAGGCTGTGGGGTTCTGGCCTTTCGGGGCCTCCCGCAGCCCAAGGACGGCCCCCAGCCTGGACCGGTAGCCCCAAAACGGCCCACGAGACCCCAAGAGGAGGAGGAGGAGGAGGAGAGGAGGAGGAGGGAGGAGGAGGAGGAGGAGGAGGAGGAGGAGGAGGAGGAGGAGGAGGGGCAAAGGAGCCAAAGAGGCCCCCAAGAGCCAAAAAAAGCCCCAAAAGGGCAAAGGGAGACCGCTGAGAGGGCCGACCCGGGGGGCCGACCGGGGCCCCGAGAGGGTCCCAGGACGGCCCCGGTCCCCCAAGACGACCCGATAGGGCCCCCAGGACGGCCCAAGAGCCTCCCAAGAGGGGAAGGGGGGTGCGGGAGGGGGAGGGGGAGGGGGGGAGGGGGGGGTGGGGCGCACGCGCAACGCTGGCATGGTCTGGTAACGTGCTCAATGACAGAGCTCTCATTCCTGAAACATTCAAGAGTAGAGGCCTCCTGGATGGCGTCGGCGCAGCTGCAGTTGGAGAACCGCGCCACATCGCCGGTGCATCGGCGATGTACCGGCCATACATCGGCGATGCACGGGCAGCGTCGGCGACGCACTGGCGACGTCGGCGTGGAGCTGGCGACGTCGGCGTGGAGAAGCTCGAGGCTCCACATCGAGCCGCATCGCCGATGCATCGGCGATGCGGCACGATCCTCCGAGCCTATCCAGGGGGCGGCCGGCGTGGAGAGCCCTCCGCGGAGCGCGTCCCGCGCGGCCTGGGCGGCCCGGGCGGCACTGGCCGCGAGCGGCGAGGCGCCGGCGCTGAGGAGGGGCACGCCGTCGCCGCGGCCCGAGGTCAGGAGCAGAGCGATCGGGCGCGAGTTCGTGGGGGGCGATAGGTGGGGGAGAAGAAAGGTGCCCTTGTCGGACCCTCGAGGCCCTCTCTCTTACATATTTTCATGGGCCGCCCTCCCCACGTTGGAATCGCTCGAGCGTGAGCTCCGACCACACCCCTTGCGGCACGCACGATGCTTCCGTGCCCGAATGCGGAGACGTTATTGGCCCATGGGGGGGCGACAAAGGGTTCCACAAGAGTTGGAAGCTTGGAAATGAACACCAACACCAGCACCAGAGGTTGCCTCCACGGGACGAAGATGATCCTGGATTTCTGCGCTGGGAGTAATATTTCGGTCACCTAGGAAACCCTAATATTACCACCATCGCCGAGATCGGGATCTTCTTCCCTCGGTGGAGGCACACCGCCGATGTTGGTGCTGGTGTCAACCTCTAGGCCTGCGAAAAAAGGCGGACGCTCCAGCTCGACAGAAAGGCGCATGAGCGCGGCGCTGGCACTGCACCTGTCGCGAGGCCTCGCTTCCGCGAGCCGGCCTCGGGCGAGAGAGCGGGCGCCTCGAGCGCACTTGCCTCGGCCCAGGTGCGGCGGCGGCCATGGTTTCTCGTCCTCCTCCTCCTCCTCCTCCTCCTCCTCCTCCTCCTCCTCCTCCTCCTCCTCCTCCTCCTCCCGCTTCCTCCTCCTCCTCCTCCTCCTCCTCCTCCTCCTTCTCCTCCTCCTCCTCCTCCTCCTCCTCCTCCTCCTCCTCCTCCTCCTCCTCCTCTCCTCCTCCTCCTCCTCCCTCCTCCTCCTCCTCCTCCTCCTCCTCCTCCTCTCTCCTCCCTCCTCCTCCTCCTCCTCCTCCTCCTCCTCCTCCTCCTCCTCCTCCTCCTCCTCCTCCTCCTCCTCAATCATCATCATCATCATCATCATCATCATCATCTCATCATCATCATCTCATCATCATCATCATCATCATCATCATCATCATCATCATCATCATCATCATCATCATCATCATATCATCATCATCATCATCTCATCACATCATCATCATCATCATCATCATCATCATCATCATTCATCATCATCATCATCATCATCCCCCTCCCCCTTCCCCTCCTCCTCCTCCTCCTCCTCCCCCTCCTCCTCGGCCCACGTGCGGCGGCGGCCATAGTCCCGCAGATCCCGTGTCAACGAGCCTTCAGAATGTGCAGCGGGCCTCGACCGGGGGCGAGCCCTCGGAACCTCCCCTTTTGGGCCCCAGGGTGCAAGTAGTCGGCGGAAGCTGCGCAGCGGCATCGATCTGTGAATATTTTTCTGAACTCCTAAAGCTCGAGGCCTGCTCACAGGGCTTCTAAACTCCCGTGCCTCTGAGCACAAGCGAGGGGGCGCTAGAGCCGAGACGGTAGCAGGCAAAACACATATGGAAAACACAACTCCAATCGCAAACTGAAGCTATGCAATAACATGGAACATGAAACATCTGCTACCCTGCTGGACTCACTCACTTATGCTCAGGCTTGCTCGTCTTCGGAATTGCACAGATAAGGGTCCTCCAAGCTGAGCATCCTTGAGTCTACCTCCTCGTCTGAACTGCACTCGGTCATGACCTCGTATGGCGGGAAGTCGGGGCACGCAACTGCATTGACATGAACTGTTGGACCACCTGGGGTCTTGAGAATGCCAACTCCCACGTGCTCGAACGGCTGGATCCCAGCTGCCTTCCTCTTACGCGCACTCTGGTACTTCTCGTCGTAGACCAACTTCCAGCGGCGCCCGCTGTTGAAGCACATCCGCAGCTGGCACGGCTCGCGTCCCTTCGTCAGCGAGTTGGCGAGCTGAGCATCCCCATGTACCCAGAGCATCCAGTTGTTCGCCGCCTGCGCCCCTTCCTTCAACGTCATCGCCTCCACGTCAGTCCGCTTCTCCTTGCCCCGGAAGGTGTAGACCGTCGTCTGCAGCTTGTCGCACAGGCCCTTTGAGTCCACAACCACCGCTCCTGGCAGTCTGCGTAGAACTCCCTCGGGACTCCTCCAGTCGATGTTGTTGCCCAGGATCTCCAGCCACTGCAACTTGATACCGAACAGCTCGCCCTCCGCGTCCACGGCTGAGCGTGTCTCACATGCCACACAACTGCGGCAACCACGATCGATCTTGCCCGACTTCCAGGATGAGGCTCACGTCCGCCTCGTCGCCCTTGAGGATCTTCAGAGGTGCCAGGCCTGCCACCAGGCCCTTCGTGGACTTCCCATCGGGTCGGTTGGCCTCGGAAGAGTCAGACCACTCCACTGGCGCCAGCACCTGCGACTGAGAGTGGCTGTGGATCACCACGGGTAGATCAGCACATTCACGAACACGATCAACTAGGCGGTTGGTCTCGTTGATGGTCTGCACAGTGGAAGAAGGTATTGTGCTGAGCAATAGGCTGGTGTCGGCCGAATGCATGGGACCTGACTGCTCGGACCTCCATCCGATAGCTCCCAAGATAGCCCTCAGCTGGCCCTTCTCCTTGTCAGTGGTCGGCATGTCCTTGGCCTTCTTGCGCTCCGGGGTGAGGTGCGCCTTCTCGATGGTCTTCACGTACTCGCTCTGATCCATGCGGAAGCTCCTGTCGGGCTGCTGCTTGATCCGCACCCCCGTCTGCATGCACTCCTCCGACTTCCAGGCCTTCCACTTGAAGCGCTTCTCGATCTGCTCCCGGGCGGTGATCCACCTGGGGTCCGCGTCGTTGCCACCGAGCAGGAAGTCGCCCACGTGCGAACCCACAATGGCCATGATGTCCAGGTCCCCCTTCGCCGCGATCAGGTCCTCCAGCACCTCTGGGTTCGTGAAGTCCTTCAGCGCCTCCTTGGTGAAGCTGTTATCCTTGCCATGCGCGTCACCGTAGAGCACCCACACGCAGGGGCCCATCTTCATCTGGGCCCAACCGAACTCCTCCAGCGCCTCGCTCACGGTCATGAACCACTCGATCGCTGCCTCCACGAGCCCGTAGACCGCCTTCCTGAGCCGCATTGCAACACCCTCGGGCATCCCCAGGGCCGCCGCTAGCTCCTTCACGGGCATCACGAACAGGTCATGCTGGACCTCTCGGTTCTGCGTGAAAGCTCCCGTCACGTCCGCCATGTAGCCCTTGAAGCCCAACCACGCCATCGCCTGCAGCACCAGATGCCTCGAAGTCCTCGCCATGGCTGGAGCGGTAGTCGGACGGTGCTCGTACTCGGGGCCCATGTAACCCAGAACAACGATCCTCGCCTTCGGCTTTTTCGTGCCCGTGTTCTCGTCCACCTTCCACTCGAGAATCCACCTCATGCGCATGATGTCCTCAGGAGGCGGGGCCACTCCTGGTGGGAGTGTTTCCAGCACCGAAGACACAATGTAGTTGTTCACCTCCGTGGCCTTCGCTCGGCTGAACTTCGCCACCTCGTCCGGGGTCAACGTCCTCTCCGAGATCTCGCGCTTGCCTTTCCGCAGCTGGCTCGCCATGTAGGTGCTCATGTGCCTCGTGGCCTGCTTGAGCGGCTTGCCCTCCAATGGAACCTCAACGGAGACCTCCAGCGACGTACCCTGACGAGCCCAAAATACCCGGGCGTCTGGGGTGGACTTCGCCATGAGAGCCATGTTCTCCTTCATCTGCTCCTCCGCCAGGGCTGCTCGAGACGCTCGAACTTGGTCGGCTGCCCCTCCTGGATGGCGTCCTTTCTTGAGAATCCGCTTCCGCACTGGCGGTGTTGAACGGCTCCCTGAGGTCTGGCCGTCTCCTGTAGCTTGTCCTGCGCGGGCCTTCTTCAATGGAGGGGCTGGGTCAGGTAGTCCGTCCCAGGTCGAGATCTCCACGTCGTTCTCGGTGGGGTCGTGGCCAGTGAAGTCCAGGTACTCGTGGTTCAGCGCCTGATTCATGAGGGCGCGGACCGTCCAGGGCGCGCCCTTGCCCCCCATCAGCTCGGCGCAGGCGATCCCCCGTGAGGAAGCCGCTCGGATCTGGCAGAGGTCCACCTTGATGATACGCCCTGCTCTTACAAGCCACACCACGGATCCTGCACGCCCAGGGTGTAGAACACGTCCTTCGCCAAGGTCCCCGTCTACCGGCCGCGCTGTCTCTGTGGCCAGGACCCTCGCGAGCCCCTTGAAGCGGCCCGTAGCTTCGCCTTTCTCCTTCCTGAAGTAGCGCACCCACATGCCCGGCACCGCGGACTTCACCGCCTGATTCTTCGCGTTCTCCGCCCTGCTGAGGCGTCGCATGTAGACCTGTCTCAGGTACTCCTGCTCGGCCGCTTACATCCTGGCGTAGTTATCCCCGAACTCCTTGTCGACCCCCTGGGCTTCCACGTAGGGCAGCTCGTCAAAGTCGCTCTCAAAGAAGTGCCCGCCCAGGTCTGGTGCCCGTCCTAGGGCATGTTGAAGGGGCGAGTGTCCTCGAACATCTTCACGTGAGTTCCCAGCTGCGGTCGCCCTCGCCAGGGCTTCCTCCGTCGCCATCTCGGGGTTCTCCGCCACCAGCTTGTCCACGGCCCCCTCGGCGGCCTGGATGGCCTCCTCGGCGAGAGAGATGCGCCAATGAGCCTGGCCAGGTATGGGTTCGTACCCGATGGAGTCGGAATCGAAGTACTCAGCCGCCTGCTTGGACATCCAGGATCCCTCGGGGTCCACCTTTACCCTCTGCGGCTTGCCGCAGTAGGGCATCCAGCGCTCCTCGTAGGACAGCTCGAGGTCAGCCCACACAGGATTCCTGCGCCGGCCCTCGCCAACCATGTGGCACAGCAGCTTGCTAACGCGCACCCTGCCTGCGGGTGCTCCCACTCGAACTGGTCCGCCTGGATGTGCCCCCACTTCGGCGGGATGACCTCTAAGCTGACGGGAGGGTGCGCAGGCTTGAACTTGTTCGCCTCCTCGCACGCGTCGCAGTGGAAGTCCTGGGCCACCTGTAGCACCTATGGCCTGGCGCCCTTCCTCCGAAAAGCGTTCAGCATGGAGGCCTTCGAGCTGTGACCTGAGCCACGGTGGATCGAGGTGAGCCACTTCATGATATGCTGGTACTCCTTCGAGTTCACGTCTGTGTTCGTCTTCGTCTCCTCCTGGCTGGCTGCCATCGCCTGGTCGATCACCTCCTCGGGCTCTGCGAAGCACCTCAGGAACTCGCGGTAGTCAGGCGCGGCCCCCTCGATCATCGCCCGAACAGCTCGCCTTGCAAACTCGTCCGGGTAGTAGCTGGTGGCCGCTGTGAGACCGCCTCCTGTGAGCTCTCCACGTCGGTGATCTCCTGAGCACTCCAGGGACATCCTGGCGGCCATCTTTGGAGACGTCGTAGCGATCAGCCACTCCTTCAGCAGCGGCAGGCCCTTCTTGTCCTTCACGCCGAGCTGGCAGCCTGCCACCCCCACCACAGTAATTGAGCAGTCCTCCACCATCTTCCTGATCATCGCGCGGCCCCAGCCCTCGCACTTGATGGGCCACTCCCAGTGCACATGCTTGCCTTGGGCCACCTGGTCGCACACCAGCTGCACCGCGCCCCTGTACTCCTTGATGGCCTGCACACTGCGCTCCCTGGCGGCCTCGGCCCTGATGGGGTCGGAGCCGTTGAAGCCGAGGGCGAGGTTTCGATAGCGGGCCGCACCTCGTACTGATCCACAGGTGGTCTGGCCCAGCTTCACCACGTGCCTCTCGAGCCCTCCGGTTGCCGCCAGGGGCCCCCAGCTTGAGACCATTCCAGGCACCGATGCGACATACAGCGTCCTCGCCGAACTTCTCGACCATCTTCGAGCTCAGGATGGACGTTGGGCTGCGCGCGACCTCCATCAGCTTTGTGCCGCCGTGAGCCATCAGCGCCTCAAAGTCCTCCAAGTGGCCGTTCTCCTTGATGCACTTGGCGAGCCAGCACTGCTTCCTGGGGCCCAGCTCCTTTGTGCAGTTCAGCCCTCTGCCTGACCACTCGGACTGGAACCCACTGGTACGAAGCTCCCGGCGTCGGAACTGGCTGAGCTCGCTTGGCCCCCCAGCTGGCCGATCCTCTGGTTGAGCTGGTTCAGCGCCGCCAGCATCTGCTCCTGGACCAAGCGGTTGGACTCCTTCTCCTCCTTCTGCACCTTGATCGCAGCCTCGAGCTTCTCCTGTTCCTCGATCTCGTCCTCCACGATCGCGTCCACCGTCCTCCTGCGGGATGACCTCGCGCCCCCTCGAGCCTTGACCGGCTCCTTCGGGACCTCCTTCGGATCCCTGGTCACCTCCGCCTTCTCGTCGATGTTCTCCTGCTCGTTGAGCCACGAGGCAAACCGGGCCAGCTCCCAGCTGCTCCCCTTGTTCGCCTCCTTCTGGCACAAGGACGCGTAGGACGGGCACTGGCTCTGAACCTGCTGGTAGGTCATGGCCCCGTGCTTCCCGAAGCCCATGTAGTCGGTCGGCTCCGGCGTGTGCTTCATGAAGATGGCCTTGCGGATCGAGAGCTTGAGCGACGGATTCGCCATGCCTTGCGTCACGTGGGCGCCTACCTCCTCGGCCTTCGCCAGCACCTGGGACTTCTTCATCGAGCGGAGGCCCTTCATGGCCACCTGCGCTGGCGTCTCGTCCTTCGGAAACACGCGCCCCTTGAGGACCTGCTTCGGCTCGTCCACGCCCCAGGCCGGACCGCACGGCAGGCCGAACTCCTGAAGTAGATGAAGTACCTCCGCCTTGTAGAGGCCCTGCACTGCACTGCGAGACGTTGGCATCGGAAGCGGCCGCATTGCACGAGAATGCGATCCTGGCACAGGTGAGCTGGACCGCCCCGCGGATGAGGTTACCCCAGCGCATCCCTTTGCTGACATCGACGGCCTTCGGCCTGAGATATGAAAGACCTGGTGGATCCGGAACTGCTGGTGGCTGGATGCCGTCGGTCGCTGTCGACTCGAGTGAACTTGCCTGGCTCGAGCCCGAACGGCTATGGAAGTGCAGCTGGGCCCTCTGGTTCGCCCGGGATGCTGGGTGAGCTCCGCGACCCATTGCGGGGCCAACCTGAGACGGCACCTGAACTCTGTGAGGAACTGCGGCTCTGAGACCTGATGCGGGGCCCAACTGAGACTGAGAATGAGCACTGTGAAGGACACTATCTTCAACTGCGGGACCCATCTGAGGCCGCGACCGAATGTTGCGATGAATTCCGCAACCAACTGCGAGGCAACCCTGATCACATGACTGACCTCTGTACGCACCTGCTGAATCGACTGGAGACGCATCGATGACAACGCTGTGATCCGATTGAGATGGATACATGTAGCGCTCCAACTGCTCAGCCCGAACATCCGAGCTGCTGTCCGGCCCCTGGCACACTGCGGCCACGGGCTTGCAGTCCCACTCACGCATGTTCTCGCAGATGGTCTTGAAGTTCCGCAGCTGGTTCTGGTCCCTGACGCGCTGCTCCAGCCAGTCGTCAACCAGGCTCATGTAGTAGTGTCCTCCATCAGGTGACTCCTCCAGCTGAACGGGAATGTCCGGCGCGACCTTCACGAACACGGCCACCCCAGTCTCGCAGTCCACGACGGCCCCCAGCTTCTTCAGAACCTTCTTTGACACCAGGATCGGGACATCCTTCGAGAAGCCGTTGATGGCGATGTCGCCCTCCATGCCCGCGCCCGCGATGCCGAACTTCACCTGTCCGTAGGCGCGCTCCTTCTCGCCGTTCCCGAAGCTATAGACTGGCCTGCAGTCCAGGTTCACATCCAGCAGCCTGGTGTCGCCATACTTCTCCATGTTCTTGCGGGCCACGATGTCCAGCGCACGCTCACCACCCATGGCGTCCGCGCACCCTAAGTCGACGATGCCCTTGCCCTCGCGGATGGCCTGGTCTGCGAACATCGCCTCGCACTTCGAGTCCTGGGGCTCCTGCTCGGCGACCAGCGAGGCCACGAGGTTGAACTTCAGCTCCTTCCTGCCCTCAGCCACCTTCGCGCTCGCCTCCGGCGTGCTTGCAGCTCCCGGTCGGAGACGTGGGTCATGACGGTCCTGGCAGTCCTGAACCCAGTGAGCTCCACCACACTTCGCGCACTTCTTCTGGCCCTCGTTCGGCGGCAAGATCTGGCCTCTACCTCCTACCTGGGGAGGAAATGGTCGGCGTGATCCCGCTGGGAACCCCTTGCCTGACCCCTTCGGCGCTGGCCGTCCTCCACGGTAGAAGCCCCTGCTCAGCCGGCTGTCGGCCTGGGCCTCCCGAGCCTGGCGGAGGGCGCGCTAGGCGGTGTGAATCGCCGCGAGCGCCTCCGCCTCCTCCTGCTGAGCCGCCAAGTAGGTCTCGATGTCGTCATCGTTCGCCTCCTCCTGGCCTGGGTCTTCCTCCTGCCACTCGCAGTTCTCCACGTCGGCTGCGAAGCTGCTCGCGTCTGGTCCATCGTCTCCGTCAAGCCAAGTACGATCATCTTCTCCAAGCTGAGCTGTGTACGCCTTCGGGAACCTCGAGTGCCCGTCACGTTCCGCCAGGTCGTCGTCCTCCCAGCTCGAGATCAGCTTCTCCCGGATGATGTTGACCTCCAGCGAGCCGCCCGTCGCCGTCATGATGGCAGCCCTCTCGCGCGAGACGAGCCCCGACCGCACGAGCATCAGCCAGCCCAAGACCAGGCCAGGGAACACCTCCGGCATGTCCCCGAGTTCCTCCTCGGCGTCCGCGTCCTGGTCATCAGCGCTCCAGTGGTGCGACTGCCCTGTCTCGAAGCGGTCCGTCCACTGCTGCATCGGCTCGAGCTTGCGGCGCTTCGTCTTGATCAAGAATGTCTCGAGCTCCTGGCCAACGTATGGCACAGCCTGTCGAGAGCACCTGCGCTCCAGCCACGCCAGGAGCCGCTCCACGCCGTCCGGCCTGGAGAACCACCCAGCCTTGCAGCGCTCGACCGCGATCTCGGCCCGGCCTGTGAGCTTCGCCTCCAGCCGCGGGCCGCACAGGTACCTGTCCTCCCTCTTGGTGCCCTCCTGGTACTGGAGGGCCTTCCGCCTGTACGTTCGCCAAGTCTTGGGATCCCCATCCCAACTTGGCACCTTGCCCCGATGATCCTCGGTCATCGTAGTCAAACTCCGTGTCAACCACGTGCTCCTGCTACCATGCAAGGAGTCGGCGGAAGCTGCGCAGCGGTATCGATCTGTGAATCTTTTCTGAACTCCTAAAGCTCGAGCCCTGCTCACAGGGCTTCTAAACTCCCGTGCCTCTGAGCACAAGCGAGGGGGCGCTAGAGCCGAGACGGTAGCAGGCAAAACACATATGGAAAACACAACTCCAATCGCAAACTGAAGCTGTGCAATAACATGGAACATGAAACATATGCTACCCTGTTGGACTCACTCACTCATGCTCAGGCTTGCTCGTCTTCGGAATTGCACAGGGGGCCCCCCTGCAGGGGCCGCCAAGGGGCCCCTCCTCGGCAGCCTCGCTGCCCCCCCCATTTGTCGGCGCCCCAGTTATCAAGGGCTCCCAACTTCGCGCTGCGCGCTGCGCGAGGCGCGAATAGTTTCGCGCTCTCGCGGGGAGAGGAGGAGGATGAGGAGGAATCGGAGCCGAACCGCGAAGCGCGAAGCGCGAATAACTTCGTGCCCTCGATGGCGCCCTTCACTGTCGCGGTCCAACGTCAGGAGGGGGAGTAGGATTCAGGCGGGCGCGTCCCCCTACAGAGGGATTCTGGGTGAATGCCACCAGCCCTCTGGGCGTAGGTGGTCTAGAACAGATCCTCTTCCACCCCATCCCTCTTCCCCCTGGGGAGGGGTTTACCCCTCCCCCTACCCCCTCCCCTGGACCTGGACGGAGGGTTTCGCGAGCGGTCGGACGGCCCTTTTGGCCCCAAGATGGTTTCAAGAGCGCGTCAGAGAGCCCAAGATGAGCTCCAAGATGGCTCAAGATAGCGCCAGATCGCTTAAGATGGCTCCTAAGATGGTTCCAAGAGGCCCAAAGACGGCCCCAAAACGGCTCCAAGTGGCCAAAGAGCTCCCCAAGGAGGCCCCGAAGAGGCCAAAATCGCCCCAAAACCTTGAGAAAATCAATGTGTTTTGCTTTCTCGCCGTTTCGCTTCCGATGGCCATCCGAGGCCTCAAGATGGCTCCAAGATGGCCCAAGAGGGCCCCACAAGAGGCCAAAGAGAGTCCCAAGACGGCCCCAAGAGCGCCCCAAGAGCGCCCCAAGAGCGCCCCAAGAGGCGATGTTTGGAGCTCCTGAAGGGGGGAGGCTAACTAGGGAACCCCCCTTCGTTGATCGATCTCCACCAAGATGGCCCCAAGAGCGCCCCTACAGCCCCCAAGAGCGCCCCAAGAGCGCCCCAAGAGGCGCCCAGACGGCCCCAAGAGGCGCCCAAGAGGCCTCCAAGAGGCTCCCAAGAGACCCCCAAGAAGCCTCAAGAGGATCTCCGAAATGCATTTAAGACGCTTCTGGCTCTTCGGTTCGCCGTCCTCTTCATTATCATCCCCCTTTTCCTCCTCCTCCTTCTCCTCCATTTCCTCCTTCTCCTCCCTCTGCTCCTTCTCCTCCTTTTCGTCCTCCTCGCCCTCTCTCTTTCTCTCTCTCTCTCTCTCTCTCTCTCTCTCTCTCTCTCTCTCTCTCTCTCTCTCTCTCCCTACTCCACATCCTCCTCCTCATTATCCTCCTCCTCCTCCTCCTCCTCCTCCTCCTCCTCCTCCTCCTCCTTCCTCCCCTCTCTCCTCCTCCTCCTCCTCCTCCTCCTCCTCCTCCTCCTCCTCCTCCTCCTCCTCCTCCTCCTCCTCTCTCTCCTCCTCCTCCCCCTCCTCCTCCTCCTCCTCCTCCTCCTCCTCCTCCTCCTCCTCCTCCTCCTCCTCCTCCTCCTCCTCCTCCTCCTCCTCCTCCTCCTCCTCCTCCTCCTCCTCCTCCTCCTCCTCCTCCTCCTCCTCCTCCTCCTCCTCCTCCTCCTCCTCCTCCTCCTCCTCCTCCTCCTCCTCCTCCTCCTCCTCCTCCTCTTCCCCCCCCCCTCCGACGAAGATTCCTTCTCCATCCTCTCCCTCTTGGGGTACGTGACAGCTTCCCCCGCCCTTTGTTATTTTGCGTGCTCCCCGACTTCCCTGATCACCTCAACTCCCCTGGGCATCGTTTCTGGATGGGCTGGCGGGGATACTTTTTTGTTCTGCGGCCCGCAAGGAAAAGTCCAGAGGGCGTGTTAATCAGGCAAACTGGGGCACAGAGCCAGATAATTAGTGCACATGCAGGACAAATTGAGGCAAACGAGCCGCGCGTGGCGACGTTGCACCCGCACGAGGACGCCAGCCGACGAGCAGGGCGAGGGGAAAACGGCGAGAAAGGAGGAGCGAGGCGGCAGAAGAACGAAGGAGGGGGGGAAAAGCAGGTGGCCTCACTCACGGAGCACCCTGTGTTCGGTGGCGAGTCGACAAGGCCCAATCACAGGTGGACACCACATCACCGTGCCCGTGTCAGTCAGGTCGGCAACGCCGGGGGGGTAACGTCGGCCAGGAGAAGCGTGAACCTGACACAACATGCACCACATGAACTGGAAGTCGTACTCCAGAGCGACGGCGCCGAAGAGCGGAACGGCCAAGACGAGGAAGGCCAGGCCTGCAAGATGCCACCGGCCGAAAGCCCCCGCAATCAAAGCGAGCACAGAATCATCCCGCATCGTGGGAGGGAAGCACCTCAACCCCAGGAGGTGCCCCAAGGTATTGGCCAGAGCCACACTGCGGGTGTCGTCATCCCTCAGAAGTCGATGGTGGCGTCAGGAGGGGAGGATGGGGAGGCGCAGCCGATCGCCGCAGAACATTTAAATAAATGGAGAGGAGGCGTCGGATGCAAACGCCCCCAGACGAGGATCCAACACGTGAAGTCGGCAAGTCGTGGAGCGTGGCGCCTTCGTGGGGGGGAAGAAGCCACGTGGGCAAGGCCGTCGGACTTCGGGAGTGTGGAGCGCATGGGGGGGCCTTTGGCCTGCCGCCCCGGCCATCCAAAGAGAGCGCCCCAGCGGCCGACGCGGGCCCATGTCAGCGAGGCCAAAGAGAGCCGTGGGCAGGGTTATTGCAGCCAGACCGCACGGGCTAAGAGCCCACGGAGTACCGTGGGGGGTCAAACGCAGTGTGAGTGTGCACCTCGTTCCCAGGAGGTAGCACGTGGGCCTGTCACTGCGGTGAAACGAGCCCCTTTCATGAAGGGACAGCCCACTGCCGTTGCGGCCCGTGGCGGGCCATCTGTCCCCGGCGTCATCCCCTCACCCGAGGCTTGCCTGTGGGCGGCCAAGGGACTTACGATGACCATGGTGGCCCCTGCCTATGTGGAGCAGGTCTGTGAACGTCACACGTCTTCGACGAGTCACCACAGTCGTCGAGGGCGTTAGGAGGGAGGGGAGGAAGGCGCAGCCGATAGCCGCAGAACATTTGAATAAATGGGGGGGAGGAGCCAGAGGCTCGCACCGGTATTGAGGACCTAACACGCGTGGTCGGTATGTCGTCGGCGTGTGGCGCCGTCTGGCGGGGGAGAGTCAACAGCGCGTGGCCGTCGGACGTCGAGGGTGCGGAGCGCATGGGGGGGTGCCTTAGGCCTGCCGCCCAGCCGTCCGAGGTGCGCGCCCTGTCGGGCGAACCGGGCTCATGTCCTCGTGGACAAGGCCAGAGTGAGCCGCGGGCAGGATTATTGCAGCCATACCACACGAGCTAAGGGCCCAAGAGGACCTGTTGGAGTCTATACGCAGTGTGAGCTGCGCACCTCACTCCCAGGAGGTGACACGGGTATTAAGGCTGCTGCCTGTCACTGCGGTGAAACGGGCCCCCCTTGGTCACGGGACAGCTCCAAGGCGATGTGGCCCGGGGGGGTCTTCCGTCCGCGCCATCTCGTCCTCCCTGGTTGCGTGTCTGTGGGCCGCAAAGGAGCGCTCGAGGACCATGGGGCTGCCGACCCATTGGGCCCCGCATGGCACGTCGGGGGCCCATATGGCCCACAGGGTCAGCGCGATGGATGCCATTCTGTATAGTTGGGTGGACGCTGCACCCAGCTGACCGAGGTCGTTGTCCTCAAAAAAGCACGCGTTGCGCTCCGAGACAGGCTGAATGGCACCACGGAGTATCGACATGAACGGGGGGAAGGTGGGCAATGCCGCGGCCTGGGGTTCCGTGGGTGTGGAATGAGGCTCGAGCCGTAGACGTGCACTGAGAAACGCCCGACGGGGAGCCAAGGGAGCAGGACAGGGACCGGGCGCGTGACCCTTGGCCGCGTGGCCGTCGATGACGGGGCCACCCTTTCCTGGGCCTGGAGCCGAGACCTCGCGTCTTGGCCATACCCGACGGCGTCACTTGCGGTCGACGTCCCGTCCTCGCTGTCGCTTGTCGGCGTAGTGCGCGTCGCCTCTAGGGGCGGTCCTTTGAGGCGCCCTCTGGTGGGGATATTTTTTTTTTACAGCCGCAGGCGGAAGCGCCAGCGGCGGGAGGTCGCGGGCGGGCTACGGCCGCGACTAAATTGCCGAGCGCACGCGGGGGCCGCGGACCAGGCGGCGGGGGGGGGCAGCGCCCAGGGCGGCAGAGCCGACGTGCAATCCAGGGAGCCTGAGACAGCCCCGGAAGGGCAAGCAACGGTGCATCCAGGGAGTCTGAGGACAGGCACCGAGGAGACCAAGCGCAGCCAAAATGGCGCGTGAGGCGTTCCCAGCAGTTCAGATGCGAACAGAAAGGAACGTTCCCGAGGACATCGATCCAGGGAGTCTGACGGGTAACACAGACTGACTGGGGACATAAGTCCAGCGGAAAATCCTGACGGCGAATCAAAGTCGCGACGCCAGAACGCGCATCCAGGGTGTGGAGCATGATGACGGGAGAGCCTTCCACAACTCTGGTGGGGATACGCGAAGCGTCAACAAGTTCTTGTTCATATACTGTTATATAGTTTGATATGCTTACTCTATGTATTGAAAACAACAACAACAAAAAGAAAAGAAAAAAAAAAAAAAAAAAAAAAAAAAAAAAAAAAAAAAAAAAAAAAAAAAAAAAAAAAAAAAAAAAAAAAAA